ATATATATATATATATATATATATATATATATATATATATATATATATATATATATATATATATATATATATATATATATATGCACATTAAAATGTTTAACATCAATTGTTCAAAAATTCTGCAGATTCACATTTATATTCAATGAATATTATTACATATATATCTAGTGAGAACAAAAAAAACAATAATCATTTCTTTAACATCTATAGTTAACTTTATTTAAAATCAGCAAATCAATATTTTTAGTTATTACACTGCAAATAATTTCAGTACTATTATAAATATTGAAATGTCTAATAATAAAGATTATTACTTCAGAATTACATAATTCAACGTAATGTCGACGTAATTCAACATTTAAATGCAAAAGTGCAATAATAATAATAATAGTTTCTAACGTCAATTGTCAAAAAAGCAATGATAATATTTGATTGATTAAATTAATATTTTTCCTGAATGTAAAAGTAGGATGCAAAAAAGCAGAAAAAGCAAGTAATCTTATTGACTTTAATATTAATATAATGTTAATAATATTATCATATATGACTGCCTAATATAATTGATTACTGTTTTTCCAGAGAGTAAAATTTTGGACTAATGTAAACATTAATGTGCAGATACAGAGCTCAGTGTAATTGAGTACAGCCCAATTTATAAATGAACATGTTCCTTTATTTCTCAGTGAGTATAGGCAGTGTAATTTGGTGCATTGAAAACAAATCAGATTTGGCTTTAGCACTGACTAATCTAATGTATATGCACACATATAATATTGTAGAGCTTCCTATTAAACATATGAATTTAACAGAGAGATTTGTGAGGGGTGTACACAAACACGCTGAGTACTGTAATAATTATAATAATTGCAGTTATATAATAGTCTAACATTAACAATTAAAGTATTTCATTGCTTAAATAAATACTTTTCCAGTATGTAATACTTCAGAATTAAGAGTGTAAACATTCAGATGCAAAAAAGTAAATAAATGATCATTTTTAATGTCAAATTTTTATTTAAAAAATCTGCAAATTCAAGTGTATAAAATAGATTTACTGCAAATAATCAAACAATATTATCAGAAATTTAAGCATTAATATAATGTCGATATTGTTAATATATAATTGTCTTATATAATTAATTACTGTTTTTCCAGAACGTAATATTTCAGAAGGATGTAAACGTGGAGAGGCAGATATAGAGAAGAGGAATATGAGGATGATCTCAGCCGTGCTCAGACTGGAGGATTAAAGTGCATAATAACCTAATCAGAAATGATCAAATATGTCAATAATATTAATATATAATCGTCGAACAATAACAGTTTTCTTTGATTAGTTTAAGTGGATAATTTTCCGGAAAGATGTAAACGTGGAGACGCAGATATAAATGCAGACGATCAGGATTATGAGGATGATTTCAGCTGTGCTCAGTTCAGAAGGACTGATGATTGCAGATATAATAAATATCTAATATTATTAATAATAATACTTTTTAATACTTAGGAATTAAGGGTGTAAACATTCAGATGAAAAAAAAAAAAAAAAAAAAAAATATATATATATATATATATATATATATATATATATATATATATATATATATATATATATATATATATATATATATATATATATATATATATATATATATATATATATATATATATATATATATATATATATATATATATATAT